AAACTAAAAAGTTGAGGTTGAAAATATGAATGTTTGGGTTAATTTTTTGACTTTTTATGAAAAAATGTGTATTAAAAAATTGTATAAATTAATGTGTAAGGAAAAATTAGTATTGGGAGTTGTGCAGCCGTAATTGTTGACTTTTGGTGAATAGTAATAACTTTTTAACTTTTTGAATAACTTTTTTAATTTTTTGACTTTTTTGAGACTCCCCAAACTTGGCCTTAATTTATTTGTCTAAGCAGCTGGAATCAAGTTGAATTGATCAATTAGAAAAACATACATTCAAGTTGAAAAATTAGATGGTAGTGCTGGACTAAATACATGTGTTGTCTCAATATTGATGATTGTTGATTTAAATGGTGGGACATTACTTTTATGTTGATTTATGAAAGATAATTGGACACGTCATAAAATAAATGGTGGATAATATTATTCAAAAATCATCAAATAACTTGTCAGGCATTTGTATGTTAAAATAAGATTATTTGCATAAATATCTCTTAAACTATTGCAAGTGTCAATTTAACCCCATAAACTAAAAAAGGATATAATTAAACATCTATAACTATCATATCCACCCCTTTTGTCCTTCATCATGATTAAATCATGAATTTCAAGATCACACACCATTCTTTTGTTTGCTCATTTAATGACCAAAGTTTCGTTTAACAGTGGGTAAATTACACAGGTACCCCATAAACTAGTATTGAGTATCACTTCTCTAAACTATTATAAAATATCACTCTATCCCCATAACTATAAAACCGTACAATTCGACCTTTCAATTACTATATAAAAAAATATATCAAAGAAAATTGACATTTCTCCAAGATATATATAAAATAATAATAATAAATAAATATATAAATTATGACAGGCTCATAAATAAATAAATAAATAAATTATGATAGGCTCGATTTCAAAACTTTAAGTAATATATTTCCGGTAGTGCTACATGTACCAATTAGTATACTAACTAGTGTTCCAACACTAGTTATGACATTATTATTGATCACACTCATTAATTACATTACAAATCTCAAAAATCTATTAAATTATGTCATATCATCAATTAGTATACTAGTTAGTATACAAATTGATACATATAGCATTATTCATATAAAACTCAAGAAATATGATTAACTAGTTATAAAATCATTTTTCATTCAATTATGCAATTTAGCCTCTTGAAGATGCGTATTCTAATGTGCAACTAAAATAGATAAAATTTACTCAAGAGATCAATTTATCAATAAGAGAATAACTCCTTTAAATAATCAGTATCATATTTGGAACGATTTTTTACCATCATGAAAAATTGTTGTTCTGATAGTGCATGTGTCATTGGACTACATACACTACTACAAAAATAGTTAAAGATCACACTTTGACAAAAAAAAAAGATCTCACTTTTATTGGAAGTGTGATAAAAAAAATTAGATTGATATTTTAATCACACTTAATTTGATTGAGTGTGATAATATTTATTTTTTATGTCACTTTTCAATTAAGTGTGATTATATATATATATTTTTAATCACACCTTCTAATTAAAGTGTGATTATATATACATTACTACTTTTTAATCACACTCCCTAAATAGGTGTGATTGTATAAAATATTTCAATTTGATTTTTATATAAAATATACAATTCCCAAATCCGCGCCTCTATTCTACCCATGAATGATAGAGATGACTCACTACTAGAAAATGAGGCTTTAGACACGGAACTTTTTCACCCATTTTTTCATCTTTCTATCTCTCTGTCTCTGTCTCTCTCCTCTCTCTCTCTCTCTCACTCATCACTCTTCTCTGTCTGTCTGTCTGTTTGTCTCTCTCTCTCTCTCTCTTTCTCTCTGTCTATAAGAAAACAACTTCATCCAACCAAAACTCACATTTCTTTAGTTTAGCAAATAATTTTCTTTTCTTCTTTAGTAAAATCATGCTTTGGAATAATTTTGCCAATCTGCAAAATTATTCGTGATTGTCCGTCCTCGGATACGATTACTAATCCTCTGTTTGGCTCATCAATTTTTTGAGGAAAAGGAAAAGGAAATGCAAGGGAAATCATCAATCTTTGTGTTGTTAACATGGAAAACAATGAGGAAAAGAATATGATGAAAGTATGTAGAAAAAAATCTTAGTTGTAAATATCATTTCCATAGTTGTCAAATTGGGATACGAATTGAGTATTGTTTTTCTATTTTTCTGAGTTGAGTATTGTATCATATTGTGTATCATAAGATACTTTTAACATCTATAAAAATAAAATATTTCAATTTGATTTTTATATAAAATATACAATTCCCAAATCCGCGCCTCTATTCTACCCATGAATGATAGAGATGACTCACTACTAGAAAATGAGGCTTTAGACACGGAACTTTTTCACCCATTTTTTCATCTTTCTATCTCTCTGTCTCTGTCTCTCTTTTCTTTATTTTTTTCTCTCTCACTCATCACTCTTCTCTGTCTGTCTGTCTCTCTCTTTCTCTCTGTGTCTCTATCTCTCTTATTTTTCTCTCTCCCACTCATCACTCTTCTCTGTCTGTCTGTCTGTCTGTCTCTCTCTTTCTCTCTATGTCTTTCGTCTATCTCTCTTCTGTCTATCTCTCTTATCTCTCTTCTCTCTTCTCAATCTCTCTTCTCTTTATCTTTCTCGCTCATCTCTCTCTGTCTCTCTCTCGTTTATCTCTTTTCGCTCTTTTCTTTCTCTCTCTCTCTCTCTCTCTCTGTCTATATCTTTTCACCCATTTTTTCATCTTCCTCTCTCTCTTCTCTTTCTCTCTCTCACTCATCACTCTTTTCTTTCTGTCTATCTGTCTCTCTCTCTCTCTCTCTCTGTGTGTCTCTCACTCATCTATCTTTTCTCTCATCTTTTTTCTCTCCCTGTCTCTTTCGCTCATCTCTCTTCTCTCTATCTCTTTTATCTCTCACGTTCATCTCTCTTCTCTCTATGTCTCTCTCGCTCATCTCTCTATCTCTCTCTCTCTCGTTCATCTCTCTTCTCTCTCTGTCTCTTTTTCTCTCTCTCACTCTCTATCTCTTTATATTTTTGTCCCTCTCTCTCTCTTCTCTTTCTTTTTCTCTCTCTCTGCCACTATGTTCGCGTTGCTCACTCTCTCCCTTCTGTCTTCTCTATTTACTGAGCTCCCTCTCGATTTATCTATCCAGTACAAGAAAATGCACTTTTAGCGACCACTTTGTCTCTCTCTCGCTCATCACTCTGTCTCTGTCTCTGTCTCTCTCTCTCTCTCTATGTGTCTCTCACTCATTTCTCTCTTTCTCACCACCCATCTCCTTTACCACCTCCACTACTACTGCAAACGTCATTCCACTACCACCATTACTACCACTGTCGCCACTTCACCTCTACGACTACCATTACTACTACCATTGCCACCACTACCACTACTGCCACAACTACTACCATTACCTCTCTTCACCCTTGCCACTTCATCTATTCTACCACTACCACAACTTCACCACTAATCTCCTTCGCCACCACCGCCACCACCATCATCTCTTATCCACTACCTTCTCCACTACTGCCACTCCCTCTTATCTACAAAAAAAAATTCATTAACTACAAAAAATATATATTTTAACAAAAAATATTTTTTTTTTACGACGGCAACTCCCGTCGCAAAAAAAAAAGAAAAGAAAGTTAAACGACATTATTTTGTTATTTAACTTGCCACTTCATCTACTCTACCACTACCACAACTTCACCACTAATCTCCTTCGCCGTCGCTGCCGCCACCACCACCACCACCACCATCTCTTATCCACTACCTTCTCCACTACTGCCACTACCTTCTCCACTACTGCCACTCCCTCTCATCTACAAAAAAAAAAATTCATTAACTACAAAAAATATATATTTTAACAAAAAATAAATTTTTTTGACAACGGCAACCCCGTCGCCAAAAAAAATAAATAAATTAAATGACATTATTTTATTATTTAAATTTCATTTCTGACCAAAAAAAAAATTTATTTTTTATTCCCGCCCATTTTTATTTTTCATTCCCACTCCATTCCCCACCTTTTTTTTTCCCATTCGCGCTCATCACCTCCCCAAACAAAAAATCCCCAATCTCAAACCAAAAAATCCCTAATCTCTTCTTACCCCCCCTCTCTCGATCGACGGCGAGCAGCGGAGGAGTAGCTGAAAGGGCAAACGAGCCCTAGCCGTTCGCCATTGCACAGCTCGCAGTCTCTCTCTCTCTCTCTCTCTCTCTCTGTTTTATCCAGGTAACATTCTCTTCTGTCATTCCAATATTTCCTCTTGCCATTGACTTTTATCAGCTGAAAAATGTTCACTCGTTGTGTTGAATCCGAACACATGTCTCTGCAATAAAATATTTTTTTTGTTGTTCCTCCTCTAATATGTTGAAACCAGGTATTTGCAAATATACGACAAATTTCGTCACAGAGACACGATTTATTAAAACCCTAGATTATATATATTAGGCTGTATGTATATATATAGATATGCATTTACACAGACACTGCACCAACACTTACACTTGTTCTGGAAAATGTGGTGCGAGGGAGATTCACAGTGTAATTGGCAGATTATTTATCATTGTTCTTATTGTTTGTTCATTTTGTAATTGTTTTTTTTAACTGATTGATACAACACGCGTATCAGTTGTTAAAAATATTAAACATTTTACGGTGCACAAAAAGTCAGTCGTTAAAAATATTACACTTTTTACGACACACAAAAAGTCAATCATTAAAAAATATACTTTTCACGATGCACATATACTAACTGTTAAAAATATTTTACTTTTTACGACATGTAATTCCTGTCGTGAATAATATGACCAAAATAAAAATAGGCGCCAAAAGTAAAATACTCTGGCGCCAAATGTAAAATGAAATAATCTTCGAATTGGCGTAGTTGTCTCTCTCTACACGAATGCTAAAAGCTCAGTGATCTGCAGAAGTTACTACTACTCTCTACTCCACCACACTCTTCCATTTCAAACCCTAAATCTCTACTCCTCCACCACACTTCCATTTCAAACCCTTAAATCATATTCTCACTCTCTCTCACTCTCTCCTCCAATTTCTCTCTCTACAACCCACAACGGCCATGGCTCTTCTCTCACCCAATTCATCGATCCAGAGCTGCCATGGAGACTAGCAAAAGGCGAGAGCTGGTTTTCAGAGACTTCCATTACCTTTTACCCGTTCCGAACTCACTCAACACTCATCACGGTTACCCCTCTTCCTATTCCCTTCTTCAGATCTAATTTCTATGTACTCTTTTGCTGTTTTCTTGTTGGGTTTTTGATTTTTTGGAGAAAAAATTGTGTTTTTGACTTTGGGTTTTTTGTGTTTAGATGGATCGGTATCAGAGGGTAGAGAAACCGTGGCCAAAGACGCCGATTAAGAATGAGATTCGTATAACCACTTAGGGAAGGATGAGGAACTACATTATTTATGCTACCACTCTGTTTAAGGTCTCTCTCTCTCTCTCTCTCTCACACACAGACACACACACAGACACACACACACACACACACACATATATATATATACACACACACACACACACACACACACACACACACACACACACACACACACACACACACACACACACACACACACACACACACACACACACACACACACACACACACACACACACACACACACACACACACACACACACACACACACACACACACACACACACACACACACACACACACACACACACACACACACACACACACACACACACACACACACACACACACACACACACACACACACACACACACACACACACACACACACACACACACACACACACACACACACACACACACACACACACACACACACACACACACACACACACACACACACACACACACACACACACACACACACACACACACACACACACACACACACACACACACACACACACACACACACACACACACACACACACACACACACACACACACACACACACACACACACACACACACACACACACACACACACACACACACACACACACACACACACACACACACACACACACACACACACACACACACACACACACACACACACACACACACACACACACACACACACACACACACACACACACACACACACACACACACACACACACACACACACACACACACACACACACACACACACACACACACACACACACACACACACACACACACACACACACACACACACACACACACACACACACACACACACACACACACACACACACACACACACACACACACACACACACACACACACACACACACACACACACACACACACACACACACACACACACACACACACACACACACACACACACACACACACACACACACACACACACACACACACACACACACACACACACACACACACACACACACACACACACACACACACACACACACACACACACACACACACACACACACACACACACACACACACACACACACACACACTCTTCCAGAAAGTACCAGCTCAATAATGTCGTGCTTCTCCTTCAGCCATAGACTATTCTTCAAACTTTGCCAATGGGCTTCCTTTCTCATTTGAGATTCAGGTGCAGATTTTTCTTTTTAATTTTATTTTTGAAACAAAAAAGAAAACACAGATGGCTGTGGAAACTTCTTCAAAAATAGAATTGTCAAGATCCAATAAAGCTTTATAGAACGTTATTAACTAATTTAAGTTATGCACTCAAGAAGTGGGTAATTGCTTTGTTACTTGTCAAAAGGGAGTTTGATCATAAACAAAAGGCAAGGTCCCTTTTAGGAAACCGCATTAATGGTTCAATTCCAAAGGAAATCAAATCAGAGACATTGCTACTCTTGAGGAGCTGTAAGTCATGGATACTGTTCTGTCTACTGGACTAATAAATGAAGCCTGACCTTGATTTTAACGTGAATTATCTTATACAGGGTCTTGGAAGATAATCAGCTTGGAGGACCTCTTCATCAAAACCTTGGAAATTTGAGCTGCATGAGGAGGCTGTAAGAAAGTTCTTTCTTTTTGTTTTAAACTTAATACTTTCTTCTAAAGTATACACTTGAATATATCGAATTACATGGTGGTGCTATCATTGCCAAAGCTTCTTATCTAAAATGCTTTTCTGGTTGGAGATAGAGTATTAATGTGTTGAAAAACAGCTGTGTGATCAGGAAGGGTTTCGTATGCATGATCCTGTCTAGCTGTGACCTTCAAATATTGGATGAGAAGTGCCATGAGAACTTGCTTTTTTAACTTCCCAGTACTGTTTCCATAAGGCTTTTTTTTATTATTTATTTTTATTATAAAAAATTTTGTGATCTTTTTAAGCTACATTGAAAGAGAGCATGGCTATTTTGAATTTAAAAGCATCATGATTATTGTTGATGCATTTCTTGCCTTGTCCAACATTCAATCATTGTGTCTATAAATATATAGAGTAATGCTATACAAACAAAAAATTCATATATAATGATGTGACTCATTGTAGACCTTTCACTTCAAAACAAAACACCATTGAAGATGGATTTATTTATAATAATCGCATTGCCATATCATTCTTATCAAGTTTTTTGTATGAATTTTATGTATGTTTATAATTGTCCCAATATATATGGTAGTCTTTGTCTGAGATTGCAGTGTCAAACATCTCTTACATGCATTGAACATTGTCTTTTGGGTATCTTTGTATGTTCAGCTGAGTGCGACAAAATGATGTTAACATTGCCACTACTGGTGCTATCGTTCTCATGTTGTTTCAAGGGAATTTATAATGGATAGTTTTCTGCAGCTTTCTTTCTGCCAACAATTTTACTGGAACAATTCCAGACACATTTAGCAAATTGAAGAACTTGACAGATTTGTAAGTGGTAATTATTTTGACATTTATTAGTCTTGAATTTTAGTAATTCTAAAACTTCTTCAACTAATTGCAGTAGGATAGATGGGAGTGTACTATCTGGGAAGATACCTGATCTGATTGGGAACTGGACAAAAATTAAAACACTGTAAGTATCATTAGTAGTTCCATGCATTAGCAATCTTTTCCCTGCCTATGGAATTCTAACAAGCTTTCTCTTGGAAGTAAAATAAGACTTATTGATAATTTTTTACACAGTTGATAGTGTACATAAATGACCAACTAATAATAATAAGTTTCTTTTTTAAAAAAAAATAGATAATTTTTTTTTTTTTTAAGACCTGAACAATGAGAATCTGCCTTCCAAAATCGGGAGCTTAAAGCGATGGCTTTGTCTACCTAGCTATCGAGTTGACCTTGCACATGATATTTGATAAATTATTTCTTAGCTAATGAAAAAGAAAATTTAAAAAAAATAAAATAAAATTTGTAGCACCAATAATAGAGAAAAGACAATAGAGGGCCACATTTTTTCTTCATGCAATAATGTAGTCCTTTTGGGGACTTCATGGAAGACGAGTGGTAATCTACTACAAGAGATGACTATTACCAACTTTTCCAAGTCTAAATACCAACTCGACAAGTCCATTTTGAATTAGCTAATCATGCATGACTTGGTGAGTACCTAAGAGTCTTGTTTAAGGGACCCCTCATTCATTAAGGTGACAATAATATTGAAAGAACAACTCACAGTCTCATGGGTCAATTTAGGTCAGTGATTTGATTTGTAATCATCGTCCTTTATTACTTTGTAGATTACACTTCTGTTTATACATAAACTAGTCACATTATTGAATATAACATTTTCACGTGGAGGTGAGATCTAAAATATATATATATATATATATAAGATAATTGTATTTGATTCTATAATTAATTTAAGATAAATTATAAATATATTTTTTGAAATTTACTTAAAATATGAATCATGTCCTCTAATTTTGAAAATTATATCACGCTCTTTCAATTCTAATCATATAACAATTGATCAATTTTATTAATAAATTATCAAGTCAATTAATAATTTTTAATAATATCATAAATATATTTCAATTAATAATTTTAGCAATTTTATTCATTAATTACATTTCAAATCTCAAAAACCTATTAAATTATGCCATATCATCAATTGGTATACTAGTTAGTATACAAATTGATACGTATAACATTATTCATATAAAACTCAAGAAATATGATTAAGTAACTAGTTATAAAATCATTTTTCATTCAATTATGCAATTTAGCATCTTGAAAATGCGTATTCTAATGTGCGACTAAAATAGATAAAACTTATTCAAGAGAATCAATTTATCAATAAGAGAATAACTCCTTTAAATAATCGGTATCATATTTGGAACGATTATTTACCATCATGAAAAATTGTTTTTCTGATAGTGCATGTGTCATTGGACTACATATTTGAATGTCTAATATGATATAATTTTCATAATATTTGTAACTTATCTTCTACTTATTAATAAAAAATATATATATATATATACAAAGTAAAGGACACATAAGTCATAAGTCTAACTTCAAAATTTTTGGAGTAATAGCTCCAAAACGACAAAATAATACATATATGTCTATTTGTCTATTATCCATCTATCTATTTATGTGATCCTTGTATTTGTCCATGTAATTATCCACCTAATGACTATTTATTCATCTTACCACTCAAGCCACTTCCAACTGCAGAAGACCTTTTCAGATCCAGCAGTGGTCCAGCGATGATCTAAGGGCAATGGGGGTAAAAATGAAAAGAAAATAATAATAATAATAATTTGTCCTTCTCATTAAATAATTTCATTAATAATGTACTTATCTCCATAAAATATCAATCTTTGGACCAAATGCTATATCCTCCATAGAAATTGACCTATCACCAATTATCCAAAAAAATAAACGAATAGATAGAGTCCCATGCATGGGGGAAAAGACAATAGAGCGTGGCCATGCACATTTTTTACAGAAGCACTGATGTAATCCTTTTTGGCATTTCAATGACAATTTGAATACAGTTGTTGTAAAGGTCTTCCTTTAATTTTGGGGCTTCACGGAAGATAAGTAATAATACTTGCAAGAGATAAGTTCAATTTGGATTGCTAATCATGCATGCTTTGTGAGTACCAGTCTTAATCACTACTACAACAACTTGGAAGAGCAGCTCATAGCCTCAGAGATGGGATCAACTTGAGGTGGTCCTCCTAGGATTGTGGTCTGTTACATGAATCATATGTAGCCAAGTTGATAAAAATATTTAGGGCAAATTACATATACCCCCTCGAGATTTGGCTAAATTACAGATACCCCTGAGGTTTTAGAAATTACAAATTCTCCCCTGAATGCTATAGTTGCATAACAAATTAGGGAATAATTTGTTATGAAATACAAACCTCAAGGGGTAAATTGTTACGAAAATACAAACCTCAGGGGGTGGGATATAATTTCCAAAACCTCAGGGGAGTTTCTGTAATTTAACTAAACCTTGAGGGAGGTATATGTAATTTGCCCAAATATTTATTTGGGGTAGGTTTAATCTATACTTTCTTATATATAGGGAGTACTCTTACAACTCTACTCACTGTCTAGACTGTTTGTTGGCCGTTATTTAATGAGGATGCTTATCTTCAATTCATTCATTGAGGTCTATCAGGAGTCTCGTTTTAATTTTTTGAGTCATTCATTTTATAGGTTGTTGTGTATAGACCATTTACAAACAAATTAGGTCAAGCCAATATATGTAATTACATAATTTTATCATATTTATTTATGAAAAAATATACGACATGAATGATTAATTAATTTAAAATGAATATGATCAATACAATGATTTTTCTTTTGGAATATTTATGTGCATAAGTTTTGTGTACATACATTGTTCCCTTCTTTAAACCCCACAAAAATATATTGAATTTTTTTCCTTGAGCACCTAATTTATCTCAATTCTACTTTAATCTCTAACTTTTGAAACCCCAACTCGACTACCCGCAGAGGGTCAGAAATTAAAGTCAAAATTAAGTATGAACCTAAGTGCGGACGTCGCCCCTGTTAGGCGACTAGGAATAATTAAAAAAGCATCGGCCAAAGTCTAAGGAAAGTGGTTCAATAGTGGGCCAAAGTGGGTCCGACCCGCCAAGAGTTCGAGCGGACCCCATGAGGGGAAATGGTCTAAGTCAAGTTGCAGAGGCATTACTTGCAGCGGTCAAGTTGCTAAGGCAAACACTATTCCCAGTATTGTCTGTTCTGCTGCCATTTGAAGTTGCTGAGGAAAAGAGAAAGTCGGAGTAACTAAGTTGTAGAGGCAACACTTGCAGCAGCCAAGTTGCAGAGGTATTTTATCAGTGCTGTCATTCCTAATATTGTAGGGATTGCCAGTTGAACTTGTCGCGGGAAATAATCATCGCAACAACTACAGCCATCGCAACTAACTTGCAGAAGGAAAGCTCCACCGAGGCGATAGTAACCTTTGAGGGAAGCTTCCATCCACAAGTAAAAAGGCTAATGCTTAGCGCGGATAGTAGGCTTCATGACATTGTTAACCTAGGGCTAATAACAAGCCCCGAATCTCACTGGTTGGAGTTGATAGCAGGCCTAGAGATACCAATTTACCGCGGTGACCCCGCAAAGATGGGAGCAGGGTAGCCTAAATATCAGGGACTCCCTTTCCATTACCTAGGTCATGGCTCTGCCTTAGTCACACAGGCAAGACTAAATGAGCCCCCTTGGATTTGGTATTAAGGCACAGCATGGCTGACAGCAAGCTTGGCTATGGCTTTCGCCCTGGGAAGTTGGGGAGTTTATGATTAGGTGGCTAAGGATGGAGGCTTCGTTGAGGCAAACACGAAACATGGCTGATAGAAGGCTGTGAAGTCTTGAGAATGCATGTCTTGGCTAAACTGAATTGAAAAGGTAAGTGCAGCGACAAGCATTACAGCCGCAAGTGCACTTGCTGAGGTTCAAGTTAAAAAAAGCAAGTTGCAGCGGCAAACACTCCCGCCGCAAGTGCACTTGCTGAGGCATCTGTGCCAAATAGATAGTGCACAGTACATACAGAAGGATGCATAGCACCTTCAGCCTGGTGGCTCAAGGCTGAATATTCCATGTGATCCTTAGGGACACATGTCTTCTCTCTATTTGGTCACTTGGTGTCCTTCTGATACCAAGGAAAAGCCTATAAATAGGACCCAATTTCTCAAAGTCCAAAGGAGGATTTTTGGGAAACTTGGGGAGATGCCGCCCATTTTATACACTGCCATTCTCTTCTTTTTGAGCCATTTGCTCCACCTTAGCTGCTCATTCTCTAATGTCCCCAGAGTTTTGTTGACTCATTCTACAGTCATTCCATCTTTGTTGGACCATTAATATAGTTTTGCCTCTCTAATCACTGTTTACCTTGAACCTCCCTACACTACCATTTTCAACCGTCACCGCTACTGCCACCTCTAGCCACTGTTGCTTCTCAACTTAATCTACCACCCCTTAGCCTTTTTCTGCCCCTTCTGGCCACCTCCCAGCCCCTTTCTAGTTTCCCTTGCCAACCCAACGCCTCTCCACTCACATTCACTTCCCTTGGCCCTCCTTACCCTCCTTTGCACCCCTTGCCACCTCCAGTCTATACCACTTTCACATGCAACCTCATCAAATTAAAGGATCAACACAACACGCGCATGTGTGCGCAAGAGAGAGAGAGAGAGATTGCAACAAATGGAGAGTCATGAAGAAAAGAGGTAGAAGAGGGTGGGGAGGAAGAGAGAGAAGGAGGTAGTAATGGTGGTGGCTGAAGGTGAAAAGGTGGTGGTTCAAGTGGTATTGGGTTAGGGTTTGAGCGTGGATGATAAGCATGCATGAAGATGAGGTCAGAATTTTACATTAAGGTAAAATTGTAATAAAAAATTTTTAAATTTTTTTTTATTAGGAATTGGGGATATAAAGAAAATAGGCCAGCTAAATTAC